CCGCCGCCGTTCTGACCGACGATGTCGTCGAACCGGGCGGCGGCCTGCTGCTTGGTCCGTGGGTCGCCGGTAACCAGATCGACGAAGCAGCGCTGCAGGATGGCGTTCTTCACCGGCAGATCGGCGTTTGACGGGTTGAGGTAGCCGACCTGGCTGGGGAAGGTGGCCGGGCCGTCGGAATTAGGGACCCGTACGAGCTCGTTCTGCGTGGCGATCCTCGGGTGGCCGACGCCGGCGTCCAGGAGATACATATCCTCCCTGAGGCGCACGACTTTGGCCTCCAATGCGGTCCCCCTGCGCAGGAAGAAGCTCGAGTTGGACCTCGGGAAGAGGCGGCTCATGTACACACTCATCGCTGTTCTCAGTTAGATTGTTTTTGTTTGGTCTCCCAAAATCAATTGAGGGCTTCTCTCGAGATTTCTAGGTTTTAACAATGTGCCCCAAATTGGTATGTTAACATTTTTTACACTAAAAAAAAAATAACTTCTATTTTACAGAAAAAGAAAAAATAAAAAAAAAAAAACTCACAAAGTTATATTAGTATAAAAAAAATCTCATATTCAAATGAACAACATAATTGATAATTATGCAAGATTTTGTCGTATGTAGTCACAACATATTCAAATCGAACGTGGCATATTTATAATTATGCCAGATGTTTCGCATAATTTACGACTTGCATATTCAAATCAACCGCGTAGTTAATAAATATGTAAAATATTTTTTGCATATTTTGTAACCGCGTATCTAAATCCACCGTATAATTTAAGATATGCATGAAAGTATCACATATCGAAATCGAACGTCGCATATTTATGATTATACAACATTTTTTCACGTAGTTTACGACTCGCATATCCAAATCTGTAACGTCGTATAATTAACGATTATGCGTAACGAATCACATATCTAAATTGAAAGACGCATAGTTCAGGACTATTCACCATTTTTTTGGCGATTCATATTACGAATCGCATATCCGAGGAAATGTTCTGCATATTAATCGAATAATTTATGCACAGCTATGATTGTGTGATTTTTCAGTTAAAAAAAAAACATAGATATATCCAATATCACCTCGCATAACTTATCAATATACACATACTTCGCATATGATTCGAACAGTTACGTATCGCA